GTCATACTTAACAAGTTCAAACAGTATTCGTCAACTGTCATCAGGAAGGGAAGAAAGAGGGAAATTGCAGCACGTTCGCCATTGATTACGATTCTTGGCCATATCCGATAACGTTTCGAGCCATCTCTCTCAGACTCCAACCAGGGAGACGTGATGCACCAACCGATGCTAACCTAGCACAAATATCCTTCATCCCACGACGCCACGTCATGGACTGACCACCTCTCCACCTTTTCCAGCCCATCCCAGGGATAGCGAACAGAGACCTGTAGGGAAGTCTCTGGAATGATATTCGCAGCATATGTCCAAGCCACTGAAGCCGGTGTTTCCAGATGAAGTCACTCAACAAATGGTGATCTCTACTGTGTTCAAACACATGCCGCCGAACCTCAGAATTACTCATGCGATGATGCCATCGAACGCAAGCAATCCTGCGGAGACAGCGATGATCGAATACGCAGAGCCGCTGCTCATCCTCAGCTCGCAGAGGCCAGGTTTCACAGGCGTAGAGCAAGACAGCCCGCACCGAAGCATTGTCTACCCAACCTTTGACAGCCAGGCTAACGTAGCAACGGCGCCAGTGACATGGGGGATGTTGTGTGAGGAGCAGATGAAACCTGATGGGCAGTCATGGAGCCACATAAAAAGGACTGCAGAAACAGGACTAAATAGAGACGTCCTGTTGAAAGTTCGATGTTCCACTCATTTTACTATAAAGTTATAGTAGTATGAGTGATAAAAGCGGATGGACAGGTTAAAATACAGTCTTGAAAAGAGCACGAGTTTGGGTTTCCACAGTTCTTAACACTGAAGTTAACGTAAACAGATAAGCAATGGTACTAAACTGGACGAAAAGCGACACATAAGAGGAAAGAATAACACTGGATGAAGGACTAATACTGATCAGAGGCAATAAGCCAATGTTATAGATTATTAAACATGTTGTCACTGAAAGTCGGGTGCCTAGACCAATGAACCACAGTGCTCCACTGAGACCATAAGACTAGACAAAATCACCACGGAAACGTACATATTGATTAGTGTCACTTCAAACTTTAAAAAAACTATACTATCACATTAACGGTTCGTCGCAGGAGTAGTGATACGTCGCTCTATCTCTCAAACAAGTTTTCTAAGCGTTGAGTACAGAACAACAAGAACTCTCTTACTGTCACCAATAAAAAAAATACACCACCACAGTAGATAGAGAAACTAACCTTAACATTTGGTATATCCAAACCACGAGCAGCAACTGCTGTAGCAATGAGAATAGGCGTACGACCAGTTCTAAACGATTGCAGTGCATGTTCACGTTCCGTCTGAGGACGCTTACCATGGATTGAAGCAACTGGAAAATTTAAATGGCCTAAAAACTTTGCCAAGATATCAGCTCCACGTTTAGTTTCAACAAATACCAAAGCCAAACCATCTGGATCTGAAGTAACACATCAAGAATCGTATATGTTAGTCATACACGACACACAAGGCATTAAACATTTTTACAAATTCAAAAAAGAAAAGAATGTGAAGGTGTGAAGAACAAGAATGCAGTTTTTTAAAATGATGCATTACAGGTTCATTTTTAAGCAGCAAGAATTTCTTCATAGGTGAGAGATACAAGGAATCTGAGGGTTTGTCTTTGTATACAAACTGAATGTCAACTTTTGTCGACCTCAGTGAACTTTGACCTAGACTTGATTCATACCGTAGATACAAAGACAATTCTGCTTAATCGAAACACACCTGACCAATAGCTACTGTCTTGATGTGTTGGTTGGGTTTGTCGTCTGTCGCAATGACCCAACGAGCAACACTAGTTGGAACGAATGTTTCTGAAAGTCCTACTAACATGACAGAAAGGTTGTTTTGGTGGTAGTTAAACTAAAAGCACCAACCATTATAGTCGCTTACAATGACAGCGAAGCCATACTGCTGGTGAAAAGAGGTATAACAGCAGTAAGGTGTTTGTCTAGGACGACCAGTAAGTCAGCTCTACACAGTCGCTCCACTCGTGGGGCAGATAGCGTTGGAAAAAGGTCAACCCCAGTGGTAAGGTCTTGATATGGACACAATTCAAAAAACCAACTCACAAACAGTCGGTACGGGACTGGTCTCAGAAAGCTATTCCCTGAGTTTGCAATCACGTAACGCTAATGCTATATTTGTTTTAGGTATTCCAGGAAGACACCAACTTTCTTGATGTGGGCAGTCAGGAGGTAACAACCACACACACACACAAAGCTCTCTTAACATCAGCATCCACCTTCATCTTCTTGCTTTCTTCCACAAATAGTTCACTTACCTTCTAACATTGTGACCACTAGTACTGACCTGAGACAGAAGAAAACTGCCCTGAGTTTCTTTAAACCACATCGCCAACTTCATATCTGGACGGAGCGGACTACTGAGCAGTACACACGCCCTTTGGTCGATTGCGAGCCGGATATCACGTCTACGCCAGAGACGGCGTAAAGTGTCAGCTTTTTGTATCCGTGTTGAGATTTCGTCGGCGATCAACCCGTTTAGGCTGATGCAGCCTCCCAAATAAGTGAAGTGGTCAACACGCTCTACCACTTTACTCCCTATTTTTAAGCTAGGAGTGAGTCAATGTAGTCCAGTCCTGTAGTGTCATCTTACATTTGGAGGGAGCAAATCGCATGCCAAACATTTGTAGATTGCAGCTCAAGGTATTTAGAAGACTGCATTTTGTCAGCGTCTTCACCTAGAGGGACTATATCATCTGTATATTCTAAGTCAACGAGATTATTCCCTGGTAACAAGTCAATCCCTGAGTCTCTAAAGTGAGTTAGGGTTAAGTCCATCAGCACATACATCTATGATGAAATTGAATAGAAATGGGAATAGTGGGCAACCCTGTCGGACACCAGTTGTCACCAGTTCAGATGACAACTCGCCGTAAGCTCTTACTTGGCTGGCTGCATGAGTTCGAGTAGAGTGCCTTGATCAGTGCAATGTATTTTCTCGGCATTCCGTTTACAGCCAAACATCTCCAGAGTACCTCTCGGTCGACAGAATCGAATGCCACCTTCAGGTCAAGAAATATAACGATTGTTGGACGCCGGTAAGTAGGATATTACATTTCACACCACTACTGAATCAAAGAAGATTGTGCTTGAAATTGGTGGTCGTTTAGAAATTTCAAAGATATAAGTGCTTACAAGGACAACTAGATAGATATACAAAGCACGGACCTCTGTTTTCTGGGTACTAGCGCCGTATGATGCATTGGTTATACGAAAAGTATCCGGAAACGATAGTACTAGAGGAGAAGTTAATCACTCCCTGAACTTATCAAAAGCTTCTTGGCGCTCGACAGTGCAGTCAAAATTTAAGTCCCTTCTCAGTTAACCGATGGAGTTTGGGGGGGGGGAGGCTGGTGAAATGGCTTAAAGTCCATGGAACTACCTACTTCTGTTGTTGATTTAGGAAAGGGCTAGATTGGTAAGATTGGATTAACTTTACTCCGGTCAGTATAAACTCCTGATTACGTCAATTAATATGATTATGAACAATAAATTGAATTCGCAACATCATCTAGTATATAATATTGTCTCATAGTAGAAAAAATGGCTAGATTCTTATAAGAAAGTATTGACAATTAGACGGATGAATGAATAAGCAGCGTATACATTACCTTTTCCTTGCAGTAATCTAACCAACATATCAGGCTTGTCTTTATCTTCCACATTGAGGATCTCTTGAACAATATTCTCATTAGTGCTTCCTACACGTCCAACAGCCAAGAATACATACGAGTGAAGAAAATCACGTGCTAGTGTCTGTAAAACAAGTGTAATAAAATAATATATTATCATCTAATGAAATAATTAATTTCGATAAGCTGAAATATTTGATTAGATCATATGAGAGAGTTAGAATACACAAACTAGGACGAAACAGCTGTCCAGTACTCCGAGGTTTTCCAATGGTTCTCTAACTGATGTCAGCTCATGATGAAATCCTTCATGTAATCAAACAAAATCCCTACAAAACCAATATTTGAAAACTAATCTGATGCTCACTAGTGACTGGCCCTATTCAGGCAGTTAACCTGGGGTTCTAGTGGGAAGCCGTGACCAGTAGGGTACAGCAGGTTGAAGGTGATGAGGCAGTAACTCATCGAAGAAGACATTGCGAAATGGTCGCGCTATGTCGTGAATTGGCAGAAGTTAAAATTCAAGGACCATTGGCTCGGGTTCCAGTGGCTCAATGGTCTACGAGCTCGCTCGCCTTGTAACCAGAAGGTCCTGGGTTCGAATCCCGATGGGTGCGTACTGATGAAGAGTCCCAAACTAGTCTGACGAAACAGCTGTCCAGTACTCCCAGGTTTTCCAGTGGTTCTCTAACTGATGTCAGCTCATGATGAAACCCTCCATGTAATTAAAAAAAGAATCATTCGAGTAGTTTAATAGTAGAAGAGAAGAGAAGAGAATAAAAACAAACGATCAGTAGTTAAGCATACTTGAATTTCTTTTGGAAATGTAGCAGAGAACATCAAAGTTTGTCTTTTTCCAGCTGGTGGCATTCCATGCTGTTCAACTATACGACGAATCTGTGGTTCGAAACCCATATCGAGCATCCGATCGGCTTCATCCAAAACAAGATACCTGTATTCAAAAAATTATAATAAGTAAGTAATAAGACGTACCTAATTTGCTCCAGACTCACTTTACCCCTGCTCATCAAATCAACAAGGCGTCCAGGCGTTGCTACAAGTAAATTGCAACCGTGAGATAAATCTCGAATTTGGTTAAGAATCGATGCTCCACCATAAACTACGCAAGGTTTAATGCTGGAACGATAGGCAAACTTTCGAGCTTCATCGTAAATCTGACAAGATAACTCCCTTGTTGGAGCGAGGATTAATGCCACAGGACATGCAGCACAGTTTAGTGTAGATCCTTCAGGAGCTTCACAACCTTTGTCTTCAAAGAGCATATTAAGGATAGGAAGAAGAAAAGCTGCTGTCTTCCCTGAACCTGTTTGAGCGCATGCCATCAGATCACGCTTTAAAGCAATAATTGGCAATGCATACTTTTGTACTGGTGTAGGATGGATGTATTGTGCCCTGGCCACATTATCTTTAATTATTTGATGCAGTTCAACATCACTGAATGATTTTATCGGTTCCACTGGTGTCCAGTTCGGTCCAGATTGTGTAACTGGTATACTGTCATATAATTGAAAGTTTAAAGCACTTTTCGGTTGTTCAAACAATTCATATTCACTTTTCTTCAAAGGTTTGGGCCACATTTGCTTTTCATTATACTGTTTATTCATTGGACGATGTACAACACCACTAAAAAAGAAGCAGTTAGTGTTGAATTGTAATATTACCCATGATTTGCAGTTCCATTATCGAAGATAATCGGTGGAGGACCAAACAGGCCAATATTATCAAGTCTGTGAATGGGATTCCATTGATTAAACATCGGATAGCCATTAGACTGTGGTGTCATGCTTTCCGCATTTCCGTAGCGTGATAACCGAGGGGCATTCCGCCTGTGGTTGTTGGTTGGAAGGCTTCCATAGGCTTTAAAAACTTGGTCATTTGAAAAAAAGCATGATGGATCTGCGAGTGGTTGTGACGCCTCCCTCAAGTTAAGATAACCAAACTATAAAGTGAAAAGGATTGAAAGAGATATGAAAGAATATTAAGACATTCAAAAATATTCTACTCACTTCAATAGCTTCTAATTCGTTAGTTAACACGTGATGAGAACAACTTTGAAACACTTAAGTGATAGGGGCTAAAGTTTGAGATGTATTAGTTAGTTGGAACTTAGTCATTCGGCAGAGATTACCCATACACCATGCCATGCATAGTGCGAAAGCTGATGATACTGCCCAATCACCAAAGGTGAAGTATCGGACCTTAGACTCAGTGGATGAAATGCAACGCTAAGATCGGAAGATCATTACTTAGTAGAACCTTATTGAGAAGCTAATTATCATTTCCTTGAAGATCATAATTTTTATGTCACCATAAATTTAATCATACCGAGATTGCAAGCCTACGATGAAGATGCTACAGTCATAGGGTCTTTTGGGTAATATGAGAGACCCACTGTCCTAAAACAACAGATGATGCTATATTTCAGGTGAACGAGTCTAAATCACTGATTTGAGCTGCTATTAACACTACGGATTATAAAAAACAGAAGAGTAAACACAGCCATGTAGATATCTGTCTGTCTGTTTTCAACATATAACTGCACCGTTGTGCAGCAGTTTAATTCGTCACACTCCATGTGGCTAACAAAGCAAGAGAAGAAAGTAGGAACTTGACTTTTCGTGCTTGAGAACATCTCTCAGTATGGCTTAGTAAAGGTTTAGTGAAAACCATTAACACTTCGATACTGCACCATCTGGTACAAACCGGCCACAAAGCCAGCGTTGAAGAATCCAACTCTATCATCTACCGGCCGGCTAATAAATTGCCAAAAACATCGAAGCACCACATGCTCCAAAAAGCAGAGGCTATCGCAAACAACCAGTACAGTGTGTACTACTGCCCTGGCCTTCAGTAGAGACTATAAATTCATGAATTTGTAATATTATCTTTCCTAATTTCTTGACATTCGGCTTATTTTATGCTGATGCTATTGAACTGTAATTTATTGATATTATTGATTTGATGTTATTTAAACATTAATATTGTTCATAACACTAATTCATTCATTCACCATATTGTACATATAACTGTAGAGCCTGATGATGAAGTTATCGGAAAGAGTATTCTTTTTTCAGTATCCATTCTTTTGGCAAAAGGAATAGTAATAACGAAGAATAATATAGTTTCACTGGGTATTATAAATCACAAGGAGAGGATGCATCTGCACCAGTCATTGAGAACGATTTTCAGCCATATCACTGATTGTCTCCAGCCACTGGTGTTTACCGTTCCAAGGACCCCAACCAGTCAGGAAGTCTACACCTGCCTCCCTACGTGGCTTAAACTAACTGTTGTAGATTTCATTGACTGATGAAGCCATGTTTTGGTTTCACCATCATTGGCTAACTCTTCCAACCTGATGACCCTATGTCAACTAACATTGCCAGTCAGTCGAGGAAGGCGATGGTTAGGCATACGTAACACATGTCCTAACTATCCAACTCAGTCGATGTAACTTCACAGCCTCGTCTATTGATTTACCCTCCCTCAACTAATGCCTAACATCAATATTGCTCACGCTATTATACCACTTAACACAGACGGGAGATAGAACGCAGACACCTGTGATCAAAGCCAGCTAGCCATGTCTTGCACTCTTAATGGCCAGGTATCACAGCCATAAGGAGGACGGAGCGGACCGTAGACATATCATTTTTATATTTGGAGAGGATGTCAAAGTGAAATCCTTCAGAAGTGTAATTAAATTTGTCACCCATCGAAGTAGTACACAAACAGACACAATACAATAAGTTACCAAAGTCCTAAATGACAAATGTGTTCCACGGAATGATATTCTTACTACTCAAAGACTGACGAATATAACACTAATCAACGAATGGACACTGAAGGAACGTGAATGCAAACCCTAATGGATTTACCTAGACTTACTTTCATTTAATTACTATTCGTGACATCGATAGGGCAATCAAGTGTGTACTATAATTTCATTAGTTTGCGGGTCCAACAGGATGTGTTGACTGTTGGCATGATGCAATAAGACCATATTACACAAGGAGTTCTCCCAAGTCTGTGAAGAACACCATGACTGTAAGGCATAGCACATGCGTGCCATCAACTTGCTAGTGCCTTCATCTAACCAAGCTATTACGCCCACCGATGACGTCAATATATTAAACCTTGAGATTTTCAACTGCTAGTCGTCCACATGACTTAAAATACTTTCCACCGGTGTGTATGTCCGTTAAGTAAGGTAACTGGAACCAGAAAATCTGCTGTTCATATCCACAATGATCCTGAATATACTGCCGACTCAGACCAAAGATGAGCTGCATACCAAAGAGCTGTTACCACTTAAAAACGTACAGATATTATCTATTCTGTTAGTTTACAGTATTTACAACAGCAAAATAGCTAATTGTTTTCTTAAAGTGTGTGAATCAGTTTTTTACCAAATAGTGAGGTACAGCCAGTCCAACTGATTCAACCGACTTTAAAGCAATGAGGAATTCAAGCAATAAGTTGAATACACTATATTTACTAGTGAATCTTACTTCACGAGACTTCGTTATTATTGGTATACTGCCCTAGCATTTGACCCGAAAAAACCACAAAAATCCCTAGAATCTGTGTACACCGTGAAATAAAGGAAGAGGGATAATATAAACGGATAGCTTACACTATTTTCAAGACTTTCCATGGTACGAGGAAGCCTTTGAAAGGCTACAGAACACGGGTTGACACCATTTTGCACATCCCTCCCTATTCAATGTGCCAATACGCTAGAATCAGGCTTTGATTTGAAACTGGGCAGTAGGTGCCTGTAATGTAAATTTTATGGTCTACAAATCCAGTTGAAGTCACTGGTAAAATTCTTGACATTTAATATACCTTTCTTTCACCTGAAATGCCCTTTACTATTGCGAGCTTTCTGATATATATATATACATATATATACCGGTTGACTGACTGTTGTTACGTTTTCTTATTTTTTTTCTGTCTGTTAGTCTAAATACCTTCCCTAATTATATTTATTATTATTATCTCTTTTCTATTGACGACGATACCGAAGGACCAACTGGTGAAAGGATCAACTCCATTCACAGTAGTAACAGTCTTAACGTACCTCATACTACAAACCACATATAATTAATCCCTGCACTACTCCTTTTGGAGTCAACCAAAGCTACGGCAGTCGAGTGGCGGGACGAGCTACGCAGACGTTTACCGAAGATCAGGAACCTGTACCTCACAATAAAGAGGTGAGCACAAAGAAATCAAATTGGTTTATACTAGCTCGTAAAAACGATATTGGATATTGGATACATTAAATGTTGTGAGAGATGTAGAAACTGAGTTTGTGAAAAGTGGTTGACAAGCAGGACATCTTCCTCCTTCGCTCTCTGGAAGATGCGAATTTTCGCAAAAGTGAATTCTAATATCTTCACGAACTTGTAAAAACTTTATGACTTCTTGCTGTCATTTCTAGGTTCAGATCTTTAGTACACAATCGGAAGACCCCAGTATAGTATGTCCCCTAGAGTGATGCAGATCTGAATGCAACAACAGAAGGAACAATAATTTACACTGAAGTAAATGTACCGTTAGTATAAAGGAGTTGACTTTGTAGCGTTAAATAATTCCCCAAAACTATTTACCACAGCACTCATCACTGAATATTGGATGCTAACCCTCACTGTTTAAGTCAGTTTGTTTAGCTGAAGGCTTCCGGTCGAGCATCCACGCCACTTCGTACTCTGTCGTCTCACGTTCGTTCGTTCATGCACGATCCCTAGCTAGCTAATCAGTCATCTCACACTCCGATTTGGTCCCGAAATATATCTCGTAATTTGGACGATCAATTATTGTTTTACTTTGCCTTTGGTCTACGCGGAACGAATACTATAGAAGTTGTGGGTATTAGATCTTGCGTTAGTATTCTTCGTACTATCAGTGAGCGTAAATATTGTCAGTCCCCAAACTGGTGAACCCTATCGCGAACTTCATCTTTGGTGAATACAGACAAATCCGGTGAATGCGTTCCATTTTGTACTTATTCCTGTACTATTTTCAAACTATATATATTTCGTCATGAGTGATCATACTCATAAGGTCACTCGTATTCGCTCGAGTGCAAAAACCATTCAACTCGTACCATATTGGCCAGATAAAGCAGAATCATGGTCTCAGGGTCTGATTTTAACGAACATGGGTTAACTGATCAACATTCACAGTTCCTTGCAGTTGTTTACGCCCTACCGCGGGAATTCAGCAAATGCGTAACTGTGCAGATGTCGAGCCCAGAGTTAAGCAACTCGTATGAGCATGCTTACTAGAATGAGGGAAGTTATTGGCCAACCTCAGTTTGGTGAAGGACGTTTCAGAGAACTCTTCTTATCCAAATTGCCACAGTCATTACAGGCTGTGCTAGTGACACTTCAGGGTGTTATTATAGATGACTTAGCTTTTTCTGCAAATAAAATTCTAGAAATAACAAAACGGCCAGTCACTAAAATATCCTCAGACTTCGAGTAAAGATACTGCAGTGATAGAGTTATGCAACTCTGTCCAGCAGCTATTAAGGTCGGCTAATCCGTGTGACTCCAACCGTCGACCTAACTCCCCTCAACGGCGAAACCCATGTGGCCGGTCAAAATCCAAGCAACGTTCGCTAAAAAACCCTGACTATTGTTGGTATCACAACACCTATGGCCAGGAAGCGAAATGTTGCCGAAAACCTTGCAATTTCGGCAGTGTATCAGAGACTGTGTGAAACTATCCCGCCAGCACGCGCTAGCGGCAACCGTCGCCGGTGACACTAGCCGCCTACTTTACATTCGTGATGTGGTCAGCCAGACCCGATAATTAGTCGAAATAGGCGCCGAAGTCAGTGTCCTTCCTGCTGCAGTGGCAGATAGACAGAAGGATCCTTCCTTCGACTTACAGGCTGCAGATGGAAAAACACTTGCAACCTTTGGTAGGAAATACGTCAATCTGAACATAGGTGTACGCAAACCTATTCAGTGGATTTTCCTTCTCGCTGACGTCACAATGCCCATCATATGCACAGACCTACTTAATCATCATGATTTACTTGCAGACATCCACCGAAAACGACTGATTGACAATACTACTAGACTGTCTATCAAGGGCATGAGCGTTGATAAGGCATATCCCCTGTTTGAAGTGGCGCCTCCAGCTTTACCTTGAGAACATTTGCGCGGTCTAGTTGATTTCAGTTTGGCTGATTTGTTCCGTTAGATCTAGGTAGCTGCATTTGACGTGATTCTGGTTTCTGTTTGGCTTGAACTGTATTGATTTTGTTAAGAATAGTCGTCTAAAGCTGCCTCTAGGCCTGAAGACAGTTATGGTGCAGGAGGATGCTTGAGAATGTGTTTCATGTGAAAATTATAGGGTGCACCTAAAATCCTCCTGTTTGTGGCGTCTCAATGATTTCTGTAGAGCTTCGTTTCATCACTTGTGTCCATATTTGTCGTTCACGAGTGTTTCAGTAAATGTTTATGGCTATAATCAGGAACTTTCCAAAACGGTGACTGTGGTAAGGAATTTATATTTTTTTCCGCTATAGTTTCCAAGTCAATGTCTCTTTTAAGTTGCTTACTGTACTCTGTTGGCTATTCATGAATTTTTTATTGACAGGCTTCTGTTTTCATTTACAGTGGTACCGAATGGACGCTTTACTGAATACTCCAGCAGATTTGAAATATACACTTGACAAATATCTAATTTATACAGGAAGTCAGTAAGATTTACTAAACTAAAAGCACTTTCGGTTTACATAGGAGATCTCCATGCCGAATTTATTCCTCCGAGGGCCTACACAGATTACAACTTCAATTAAATAACATTGACGTTGAAGAAATTCCATTCTTCATTACTAAACCTAATGATAATAATAATGTTTTTCTTCTAGAAACAGGAGCATTCCTAATGTTTCATTTTATGTAAATACAGTTACATACAGTTGCACTAAGAACTCAATGCAACTCGGTGCACAATAGTGTATACACAAATAAACTGAAAAATAACGTCCTCCTTACCTTCTGAACAACTTTTCCTTATTACAGGATAATAACTTTCTTTCACGTATGAGCCTGAGATATGTCTATGAAATCACAATATTATATCAGTTAAATCTCGCCCCGAAACCAAGGCCACTTGAAACCAATAGCAACATACAGACAAACGTCATTGAGGGGATATGCAATAAAGTCGCTCATCGTTGATAAGTACCCGGAACTTAATTGCCCGTGTAGCGATCTACCGTGCATAACCAGCAATGTTATGCATCACATCATAACCTCAGGACAACCCGTGACATCTAAAGCACGACGACTTGCTCCTGACAAACTGAGACTCGCTAGAAATGAGTTCGACCATATGCTCACCCTTGGCATCATTCGGCCATCGAATAGCCCATGAGCATCCCCACTGCATATGGTACCAATAAAGATAGCAACGATTGGCGACCCACTGGTGATTACCGGCGAGTGAACGCCAAAAGAACTTCTGACTGCTATCTATTGCCTCACATACACAACTTGACGGCAACATTATCTGGCGCATTTATATTCCCCAAAACAGACATGGTTAAAGCTTATAACCAAATCCCGATAGATATTCCGAAAACGGCTATCATTACGCCTTTCGGAGTTTTTGAATTTCTGCGTATGCCATTCGGTCTCCGGAATGCAGTACAAACATTTCAACGCTTCATCGACGAAGTGTTTCGTGGCCTCGACTTTGTACACGCATACTTAGACGACTGCCTCATTGCCAGACCAGACAAGGGAACTCACCTTAGACACTTGGACTTGGCATTTGAAAAGTTATACCTGCATGGTGTAACCATTAATATTCAAAAGTGTCAGATAGGCGTTGACTCACTCGAATTTCTGGGCCACACCATTGACTACAAGGGTATTCGCTCACTGGATAGTAAAGTCGAGGCGATACGGAACTTTCCAGAGCCACAAAGAGTGAAAAGTCTTCGCACTTTTAACGGCTCGGTAAGTCATTACCGATGGTTTATTCCCAACTGTGCCTCTCTGATTCAGCCATTAACAGACCTTCTTCGAGGGAATAACAAGTCCATCGAACTCGACGCGTCTGCTCAAAATGCCTTCACCCACGTTAGGAAAGCTGTTGCGGATGCCACACTTCTAAAATATCAGGATCCAATGGCACCGTTAAGTATCTTGGTTGATGCATCAGACACTGCAATCGGCACAGTTCTGTAACAACTAGTCAACAGGGAGTGTCAATCACTCGTCCTTTTCTCCAGGCGCCTTCATTTAGCAGAAACGAAGTACAGCAAATTCCGCATGGAACTTCTAGCTACGTACTGTGCTATACGTCATTTTCGACATTCAGTGGAGGTTAGTGAATTCATGATTTTCAGTGACCACAAACATCTGACTTACTCTCTGAAATCAACCTCAGATTAGTATTCACCTAGAGAATTACGACAATATGACTACGTTCCCGGTTTACACCGGATATTCGCCATGTATTCGTAATGAACAACACTCTGGCAGATGCTTTGTCGCGCATTTGTCCCTCGTCAATCTAGTTGAAGAATGAACAATCAATTCATGGTTGTTTACTCAAAACCAACTCCACATTTTGGCAGGAGTCGCCGATACTGCAGTCATCGTTCCATCGTACGCTGTTCGTTAGAAGACAGAGAGATACTATCAGAAACTTTGTGTATAATAACCTTGTTGTTGGTTCCATATTGGTACAAGAAT